ATATATATATATATATATATATATATATATATATATATATATATATTTCAACTAAAAGGATATGAAAAAAGATAAAATGTTCAAAAATGTTTTCAAATATAAAATACATAAAAACACAACAAAAAATGATAAACATCAGAAATTGCAAAAAAAATACAAGTAAACTGGAAAAGACAAAAAAACTCAGAAAAACATAAAATTTGGATAAAAACAGAAACTACAAAATACATAAAATGATAGAATATTCAAAAATCTATATATTATAGCAAAAAAGTAAAAGAAATGCAGAAAAACAAGAAAATGATACATTTTTCAAAAAAAATATTTTGGAAAAAATTAGAAACTGCAAAAAATTCATATTAGAAAAAATCAAAAGATTTTTCATTGCATTTTGTCATTGGGTAATATTCATATTAGATTGTGCCAATGTAAAAAAACAATTTTTTTCATGTAAAATGAAAATGTTTCCGCTTTGGTAATTGATTTTTTATTATAATACCTTAAATAATGACAATATCAGGCTGAAACATAGGTATTACTCCAAAAGCCGAGCTCCAAGTTTCGAATATTCAATCTGGAGATCTGAGTGAGGAAGAGAGAGTAGGGGTGTGGTTTCTAATTCAAATCGGAGATTTGAGTGGTAAAGAGAGAGGGTGGTGGTGTGGTGTTGCAGCAACCAACTTCAACATCTGAGATAGAGAGAGGGGTGGTGTCTAGTGTGGCATCTACCTTCCATAGATCTGAGGAATCAGTGTAGCAACCATCTTCAAGATCTAAGAGAGAGTGATGGTGCGATGTCCACCTTCCATAGATCTGAGAAATCGGTGTGGCAATCGGCTTTAATCAAAGATCTGGATGAATAGATTTTAGAAATTGGTGCGACAATTGGCTTTAATTGAAGATTTGGGCAAGAGAAGCAGAGAGGGGTGATCGGCGACATGAGAGAGAGAGAGAGAGAGAGAGAGAGTGGTGGTCGGCTTTCCATAGAGGTCTAGGCGAGAGAGAGAGAGAGGTAGGGGCCAGGGAGGGGTGACCGACAACGTTGACATGAAAAAGAAAGAGAGGGAGAGGGAGGGTTTCAGGAGAATAAATCCAACCCAAAAAAGGGTCAATGGATAACCCTTGACCGAATCGACCCTAACCCTTTTTTCCTAATGCTTATGGGTCATTTGACCCATCTTAACCCACTATTCAAATGGGTGGGTTATCATGTGGGTGGGTTGGGTTGGTCAAGTGGGTTGGGGTCAAAATTGCCAGCCCTACTCCCAAGTCTCAAGATGGGAGGGATGTTGGGTAATGGTCTTTTGTGGTATATAAAACTTTAACAAGGGAACTGGGCCTCTACATTATTTAAAAGTTGGGATAAAGTTTGAGATGTTTTCAATAAAGTTGGGACTTAGGGAGGTTTTAAATAAAAATGCGGTAATCAATCTTGGTCATTAAATCAAAGGGTAAAAGACTTAAATATACCATGAATTTTCATTAATTAACTTAAACATGTCCTAAGTTTTTCAAACTTAAAACTTACCCTCCAACAATGAAAAGACACATATGAGTTCATTTAAAATTTTAAAAATCCTATTTTATCCTTCTGACAAGAAGAATGTGAGAGGAGAGAAGAGAAAAAAAGAGGGCCAATGAACTGGTTTACCTAACAAACAAGAGGAGAGAGAGAGAGAGAGAGTTTCATGTATGATTCACTTAGAGCTTTTTTGTGTTCCACGTGAAATGGAATTATTGCAATTTAGTAATTGGCATAGCATTTGAATCATAAGGTCATTAACTATGATGATGTCATTTATTTGATAAATTGGAATTCAATCATTAAAACTTAATTTAAGTTCTACAAATTGAATGTGTTTTAAGTTCCAGATTTTTTTGTTGGAAATGCATATTACAAGTGTGTTATCTTGTTTCCCTATTTTGCATTGTTTCTGTCATTGGTTAGATCTAAAACAAAACTTCTATACTGCCAAATCTGACCATGTTGTAAGATTTAGAATGATATATAAAAGAGTTTGAAAATTTCAGGGTATATTTTAAAATTTTAAATGAAAATGAAGGACAAAAGAGTCATAAGGTATATTGTCTTTTTTAAAAACTTAGGGTATGTTTTAGTCTTTTGCCCTAAATCAAAATGATACATTCTTTTTTACATAGTAAGTAGATCTGATCACCTTTTGTTTATTTATTCATTTTCAGTAAAAAACATGTAGGCTTTTGAAATTTCCATTGCCATTAATAAGAATGAAAATCTTGTTTAAAAGATTTTTTTTTTTCGATCCATGTTTTTGTTGTATCAAAAGTTTCCAAGAACTAAATTCCATTAGGCTGAGTTTGGAAGGAGTACAAATGCAAATATGTAGAGTGCAAAACCTTATATTTTGTATGTATTTAGGCTGTACATATTTGCATTTGTACTGCTTCCAAACTGAGCCTTAGAATTTATTCTGGCTCCTCAAGTTGAGTATGCTTGCATCTTTGTAGTACCCCATAGAAGTACACTTAATAGGATTTTGTTTGATAGTATTGTTGTTTCTACCTGAAAATGTTTTGAATTGGTCAATACAAATTGGTAAAAGATATGTATTATCACATCATATATGAATCAATCTCTTTTTGGAACAAAAAATATAGCATCTCTAGAAACAACCTATCATACATTCATTTTCATGGTATGCCTGTTTCAATCTTTTTAGCAGCCAAGGCACATGGGCAACGCAACAAATTAAAGGTAGACCTCCCTCAACCCCTCAAGCCCCCAAATCCTTGGGGAAGGTGGGATTGGATCCAAATCTCCTCTGCAACCATTCAAAAACCTCACCAGCAAGATAGCTGGCATCTTCTGACAGGGTTTGTTCTTAATATGAAATGGACCAACCTTTGATTTGGTCTCATCTCATTGTGCTTTCCTTTGTGATAATTTCGGCAGCTATATATAATAGTGATATGGGTTCACTTTCTGTAGGATATGTCTAACATCTGTCCAGGCATTCGGCCGGCCACTAGTTTTACATGCAGAAGGGTCTGCCAATCACTTCTGACCTCCTGCTTAAAATAATGACTCTATGGGAGAGCTATCTACTCCGGTCAGCTGACCTAACATTGCATATATAATAATTCCTTTTTGCTTTCACTTATAAATCCATATATAGACCATGGATGCATAATTGCATACTATACTAACCATGAGATTGAGATGGATTATATACATATATATATGCATTATACTTAGTAGTACAGTCAGAGTCATCTGACTTACTGACCTAACATGAAACCTAATTGCACTGTTTACAAGTGAAAAAATAAAATAGTAAAATGCAGACCCACAAAGTGAAAAGTGGTGAATCCAATCTTTAACTTAGGGGATGTTGTCTCATTTATCAAAGAAAACTTCCAAATTAATATCTTCACATGGAGCCCCCAGGACAGGACCAAAGGACGTGCATGCAGCAAAGAATAATGCAAGGAGTCTTACTTGTCTAGTCTGAACAGTAAATAAGAGCTAGTCAGGGAAGAATGCAAAATGGGGAACGACCAAGAAAAAGATGGGCAAGTATGCCCACCCACTTTGAATTAATTCATTAGCAGATATCCTTAGATCTGTTCCTTCCTCTCTCAAATCCCAATTGGAGAGGGCTCTATTGTAAGACCCTACGAAAATTAAATTAAAAGATAGCAAAAGATATTGAACGAACCTTCTCGTGAAAAATGAAAGCAACTCAGCCAAAATGTGCACTGTTTATCCAACATATATAAAAGAACGATTATATATAATTGAAACACAGCAACTATGATTACTTCAACAATCACAAAATACTTCTTCTGTGTAAATAATACCTAAACAAAGTATTATAAAAATTAAATTCCATGTTCATCGCCCATGACACAAAAGACACTAGCCTTCTTAATTTGTGGAGACTGGAACAATATCAGACTGATGATATTGAACCTCTTGACAACCTCATGATCTCACCCAGCCTCATCTGAAAGCCCAAAATCCAGTTGGGTTCTGTGCATTTTGCATAAAAAAGGCTGACCCATTTGGCGATGACAAGACAGAATTAAAGTTGCGAAAGATAAATACATGTAGTTAGTGAAGGTGTCCGGCTCTACCCTATTTAAGGGCATGGATCTCATATTCTCTCTACTTTGTGGAGCAAGTTCATCTGTGTGTTTGCATTAAAAGCTGCCTCTTTATTTATGACAAAGGCAGAGAAATAAAGAAGATTGTATTTTCAGGTGTGAAATCTAATGGCCAACCGAGCAACCCCGGTTCTATCAAATTTAAGAACTTGGGCTTTTATTCTTTTTGTGAGATGGGTTTCTCTGTTGTCTGCATAAAAAGCTGGCCCCGCTGATTAAAAGCCCGAGAGTTAATGGTGTTAGGATGTCCAGGTGCTGAACTTTGGTTCTAGCTATTGAATAATATAGGTTAATTTTATGTAGTTACCGGGTTGTGATCGATATAGGGTTCTTGGTGTGGAAGCTGCCTTTTGGTTGATGGAGAGGGTCAGAGAAATAAAGGTATCGTTGGGTTTCCCAGATGATTAGGATATCTGGTCTTACAGTTTAGATATAGCTCTCCGGTTTCCCATTTAAAAACTCCAAGCTTTGCATTCTCTTTGTCCATTTTTTCTTGTTTTTCTTCTCTTCCTCTAGCTACCTACAGTAATGGAGTCTTCCCAACTCTTTGGAGGTACAGAAGAATGTAGTAGCAGTGAATCTGGATGGACGATGTATATTGCCTCCCCCATACATAATGATGATGGCGATGATGATCACCATGATTATGAAGAAGAAGATGATGACGGTAACGACGGCAACAGTAGCGACGACGACAACGACAGTGATGACTCCATGGCTTCCGATGCCTCAACTGGTCCCAGTCATCGTGAACATCCATTTGAGCATGGTGAGGATGGCCATGGCGTGGGCAGGTTGGAGCATGATCAGGATGAGGCTGATGACGAGTACTATCCACACAAAAGTTCTCACAGAAACATGAAAAAAGGAGGGGAAAGGAGAGGAACAAGAAAAGAGAAAGAAGACTCCGTGCCAGCAAACAGTGCTACCAGTCATGTTCAGAATGGAGCAAAGGTAAGAAAAACTACCTGGTTCAAGAAAGGAAAATAGAGACATTTTATTAATTTCCTTCTCAGATTTCCTTTTAGGACTGTAGCATGTTTCTGGCCATGATTGTCAGATCAGATGAGCAAAATATAGACTATAATCTATGTCTGTGCTCTATGCTTCCTGTATAATAGTTGAATCTTCAACAGTATTAGGGTCAGATATATAGCCAAACTTATGCGTGTCTGGACGATGCAAACACAATTCTGAATGAGTTGGTTTTTTATTATTACGTCTCTCTGCAAGTATCCAATTTGTAGCTCAAACTGTGGCTTTAAGAAATCAGATGTAGATTCATCGTAGGCAATTGATGAACCAGGAATAAAATTTACATTGTTTTTTACTGATATAAAACACTGGAAAATTAATGGAAATTAGCTGTGCTTTTCCAATTATATTATTCAATGTAAGATTGCAAGTTAGAATTTTTCTTCTGCTTCTGCGTGAAATATGGATAGATAGGTTAAGATGGAGCCCACGGCACAACTAGCTGGTAGCTTAGCTTCCTGCAGAGCACCATGGCACCATGTATTTGATGATGCCAGCTTACTAACCTGAAAAAAAGTTCATTTGTAGTATATCCGTGTTGGAGCAGAACTACAAATAATAATGAAGATTAATTAGGTGGGTGGGTGGGTGGGGGATGTGATCGATATATGGGCAAATCCTAGTTTTGAAAAGGGAAAAAGGGCCGGGAACTACTCATTTTCAAAAAAAGAAAATGGTAAATTACTGATACCTCAACTGGGGTTTAGTTGGGTTTACCTTCTATCTCCTTTGTCCACAAAACTAAAACAGGTTTAATTTGTTAATGAAAGAGACGGAATTGATAAGACAAATAGATTATTTTAGTAAAAAATACCCTTAATAATATAATATATGAGTTTTGTCTTCATAAAATTGATAAATGTGCCCTCAGTTATGTGATTTGAAAATGTTTCAATTTTTTAAAAATTATGGGGTAAATAAAATTTGATTTCTTTAATGAGATCTTTTTTTAATGGTTTTAAAAGGACTAAGAGGTGAGGCCAGAGGTGTGCCCCCAACATGAATTATTAGTTCCAAAAATAAATCAAAACCATCTGATTTGAAATCAGATTATTACTCAAAACTAAAACGCAAAAATCTGATCTTGGATGTGTATATGTTCTTCAAAACTGAAACCAAAAACATATTTTCGAATTCCTGATTTAAAAACATGTTTTCATCTAGTTATCTAATATAATATTCCATAAACCATATAGTTTCTAAACATTTTTTATTTTAAAAACCATTATTTTGATGAGTTTCAAAAACATGTATTGTTTTTTAAAACATAGCCAACTTGTTTTTTGCCTTTGATAACAAAAACAGTGTTGAAGAACATATTTTTTTATCTGATGTGATGGTTTCAAAAAAATGAAAAACAAAAACATTCATGTTGCAATCTATCTCACTTGGAGTTTAGACTTGAATATGCCACCCGATCAAACTCCTGGAATCGAGACCAACCCAGATTACAAAGAATTACCCCTCGAGTACACAACTTAGATGTGTACTGGTTCAACCTATACGACTTAAAAAGAAAATTAATGGAGCCTTGTGGCAACATATATACATACATCAATTGTTGAACAATCACATCAAAGTAGAAAGAACCAATCTAACTCCTGATTAAGAAACACCACCAAATTAAAGATATGAAAAGAAGTCAAAGAACGGAATTCAGTCTGCAAACGTCTCCTTGTTCAAGAGCCCGATACTATATAGCTAGTCTGGCAGTGGCATTGCGCATTAAACCTGATTATCCTGCATTGTAATATATATGGTCTAAGTTTATGGTGATCATATGTAGTTCTTGTCTCTGCCGCTAGTGACCCCCACAAATATAAAAGATGGGTTTTTCGTATCGGCTTCAACCAAGGACGCATCTTTATGACAAAACAAGTTCAACCCCCAGTTTGGTGAATAAATCATAGAGCTGCCTTTCGTCGTGGCAAAGAATAAATGTAGTACTATGTACCTTACTACAACACATATATACAGTGGTATATGTTTCTTCTGAAAGGAGTAATAATAATTAATGCATTGGTGTGAACACCATGAAGAGACTTAGGCTTCTTTTGGTTTGTGGGATGGGGATGAGAAAAAGAGAATATTCCAATTTTTTTTTCTCATTTGTTTTGAGGGAAAGAGAGGGATGGGATGAGAAAAATGTGGGATGTCAGGTCCTAAAATCGTGGATTTGGGGCCGTACCAAAACTGTGCGATCCTGATGGAAAATTTTGAGAAAGATGAGGGAGTGAGGGACGTCTTGTGTGGAGAATGCAAAAGCAGGAGCTGGTTTGGTGACAGAGACGTTCGAACCCAGAAGCAAGAGTTGGAGGGATCGCACCAAAACCATTGGCGTCTGCTACCTCCTCTTCCCCGTTCGAACCCAGAAGCAGGAGGTGGTTCGATGAGATTTCACCAACGGCTCTGGTACTCTGGTGTACTTCTTCCCTTGCTGTCGATAGAGACGTTCGACACAGGACTAACAAACGGAGAAGAGGATGGAGGGAGGAGAGAAATATGCAAGTAAGATTTAGAAATGGAGAGAGATGGGGGTTCGGTCTGCTGCTACCTGTTAGTCCGAAGGTAGGAGATGATGAACAATCACTCCCCTTCCTCCTTTTTCTTCTTCTTCCGAATAGGAAAATTAGGTTTCTCTTTAGTCCAAACAATCTACTGCTACCTGTTAATCCGAACTACTATCTCCGGTGGCACTGTCCAAAGGTAGGAGATGATGAACAATGCTTTTCCCATTATTTTCCTATATATAAAACCAAACAATGAAAGTATAAATTTTTACACTTTTCTATCCCATCCCACCCAAATCTTTCCACAAACCAAACGGAGCCTTAGAGTATGACTAGGGTTAATTTGAACTTGATCCAACGTGCTTCACCTTTACCTAAACCTAACCCACCTTATAGAGATCAGATTAATTTGTTCCTCACATTCATTTGCAGCCGTGCATTGGGAATATCTACTGTGAAGACCAGATGATCCGATCGATTTCCGGTCAAAAGACCCGGCAAGTGAAATAAGATATAAAAAAAAAATAAGAGAAGTGCATGTGTATGTGCAATTAAAAGGATGAAAAGACATTTAGATTTTTAATTATATTTTTACTGTATTTCTTTGAATGTCTAACTTAATGAAGGGAATTATCTAAATTATATGGTAAAGATCTTAATAAAAAGAATTATAAAACTAAGAAAATTTGAAATCTATATTAAACACTAGTCTTCATGGTATGACTATGACAATACATGGAGTGCACATCATAATGGAGCCCAACTATAATCCATCAGGGATTCAGAGGTGGTTGAAATTTTGGAACCTGAACCCAAGCCTAACTTTGATCAGTTGATTGATTAGAGACATTACCAAACCTGCCCCAATAAAGAGTGGGGCAAAGCAGGTCATCCCTGATCCATATTCCGAGCTTGGATCTCCTACCCACAAGCTCTCCCCATATGCCATTCGCACATCGGGAACACATCCTTTGTCATTCATGGCGAGATGCTCCCAATGTGCGGCCGTAGGATCGTGTGAGTAGGGATGTGGGAAGAATTTGTAGGCAGGAGATCCGGATACCATACTCCACACTTCACCTGTCCAGACCTAAACTGAGAAAACTCCAGCCCACTGGTTTGGACCTAACTAAAATATATATATATATATATATATATATATATATGAGGATGCCGGCCCAGCTGATGAGTCAAACCACCATGATATTGGACTCTGTGCGCGCCATCTGTAATAGCTTACCAACGGCAGGGCCCTTGGTAAGACTGTAAGAGCTTCAGAGGCGTGACAACATTTAATTCCATCATTTGTAAGGTTGACCTTGAGGATTCAAGAGAGGAAAAGCAGGAGACCAGAATCTGATTATGCTCATTGAAATAAACCTCTGAACATGTTTCCTCCTTATAAATTGTTCAAGTATTGAACATTTAGACCCATAAGAGATCTTCAGAATGACAAAGAGTTCAGAATTATTTTCGTTGGGTAATAAGGGTATAAACTATAAGAGATATAAACGAGTCTCTATTGCATTGCACCAGACATTTTATGAGGCATCTCCAAATAATTGATCATATGGGCAATGTAAGATAAGACACAGACGTGCCGTGATGTGAGAAAATGAAAAAGACAGTCCAAGTAGGCAGACTCTAGAGGAACCTGAGATGGCGACAAGCTTGCATCAAATTACTTTATAAATTAATTCTCAAGTTAAGGAAAGAGTTGTGAAGAATATCTTATCTTCTAGACTTCTACTGTTCTACATTAATATTACTTGATTGAAAGTACAAAAGCAGTCCATAGATAAATAAGCTAACCATGTATAACTAGTAGAAGAATGGATGCAGAAAGATGACTCAGGCTGCCCTCTTACTGGTTTTGACCTGTATCCACATTTTCTTTCTTTTAGGCTGTGTTTGGTTTGAAAGATAAGGTAGGGAAAGGAAGGAGCTAGGGAAACCTATACAAACCTTATATGGGTTTTCCTACGTACCTTTCCCTTCCATTCCCTACTTTTTCTTTCAAACCAAACACAGCCTTAGGGAGCTTGATGATTTGTTGGTGAAGAAGGTGGACCCAATCTCAGGCCCAGGTTTCAACCCTCCTAGACTTTTCCAACTATGCTAGCTGGACTTAACATCCACAGTATTTTCTTCAATGTACACAGTGCACTCTCAGACACTCGGTCTAATGCTAAAAGCACAGTAAATGGTGACATGAACCAAGCAATCCGACAGACCATACGGCAAATGTACTGCCACATAAAATCATAGCTAATGTCCATGAATCCCTCAAGAGATGTCTGTGTGAAGAAAATGGTTGTAGCAGTAGTAGTAAATACTAGTAGGGTCAGTAGTACAAACAATTAAGTAATAGCAATGTGTTCAGATTCGGATTGGACCAGACGGTTGAAAGGATTTTCAGAACAAAATGGTTTTTGGGTTGTCTAATTCCTAATTATCCAAATACATGTTTTAATAGTAGGCGTGTTATGACCTCTAATATCGAGTGTTTTATGCTCTCTTTGATGTCAATTAGGTTTAAAAGAAAACTTGGAAAACAATTTCTTTTTTTGATTTTTTTGTATTTTATCAAGCAAGTCAAAACAATCGAACCAGATGGTCGGACCATTTGACCCATGACCCAGTGACCAAAATGGTTCTACGTCTGGTCTGAGTTTGACAACATTGAATGATAGGACAGGGAACAATATACACCAAGACAGAGTAGGAGCTCTGGCCCCTCTACAGACTACAGTACAGTTTAAGAGAAATGAAAGTTCAATGCCTGTACAAAAGCTGGAAAATAAATGTTAGTGGAGAAACAGGTAGTATTAATGCAAAGGAAGTAGGCTATATTCATTCAATGCAATGGTAGTTAGCCCTCCCCAGTACACCATGGACATGAAAGAGTAGCAGAAAAAGGGGAGTGGTGAGTGGTGAGTGGTGAGTGTCGAGTGTTGGATCAGCCAGACAGAGATGCACAACTCTGAAAATCTGTAGTATGATGAGCTAAGCTGTCATGACAATTAATGTTGTTTGGATGGGCCTGTCATGATAATAAATGTTGTTTAGATGGGTCTCCATGGATAAATTAAAGAGCTGTGATCGACCATTTTACGTGGGAGAGCCATAGTCAGAGAGCAGCGAGTAAGAAATGATATATTGAGCGCCTAGACTTGGACCTTACATAGCCCATTAATTGTCCAATACAGATTCCATACATGAGATCCCATGTCTTCATCTGGGTTGTTGGTAGATTGGCCCTGTAGATGCTCAAGTTAAGAAATGACCCAATGAATCATGCAGGCAGATAAAATCCTTCACATTGATAAGCTCCAATGTTAGGGGACTCAAAGGTTGAATGGTTTTGATGCTGCTTAAGCGCTTCTAACACCAGAAGACTCAAGATCAAATAGTCACTTAGCAGCCTGGTCTGTTTCCAGTGTTTCAGAACTTCAGATCCCTGCATCCAGTACAACCCAAAATTTAAGCGTCCATCAATTTGCAAGATTGATTACTGTTCATTCTATGCATTAAACTATATGGAGAAGCCTGCGATATGAATGGTGATCTTGCAACCAAGTTCGGGTTCCCTTGTGAAATCAAGAGATTGATTTCAAGAGAAAGTATAGAGATCATCCAAGGTTATTATGATTGCTTGAATGAAGAGCTTCAACATAGAAAAATAGATTGGCATCCATGGTATTAATTGAAAGTAGGCCATACTCTCACAAAAGAGCAGGCAAGTGTTGGGATAAGCCTGCAAGGGATACATCTATGAAAGCATGATGAGATAACAAAATTTACAGTAATGCAGTAATTAGCTTGAGTATAGATGCTGTTCAGGTGGAACCCCCATGTGTAATTAAAAAAGAAAAATTAAAAACTAATGGTCCAGTGTCATGGAATTCAAGATTATATTGTTCAGTAGAGGATCACAGTCAAAAGGCATGTTATCATGGCCGAACCTTCAGAACCTGAACCAAACAAAATCGCATGCAATACAAATTCCATACAAGAGAGTTCAGGCTCTGAAACATGAGAAATGGCCAAATAGAATTCCTAAGACACCCGAACTCTGTATAAGCAGGACCTATAATAGGTTAATAGAAGAACATAAGCCCATCAAACGTAGAGACAAGTTGCAGTCTACTTTTTTTTGGTCTGTGTGCGTGTGTTTTCTTTTCGCAGGAAAATTGAACCAACAGCCATTTCTTCGTGGTCATTGATAAAAATTTCATGTTGCAGATAATCATTCCTCCCACACGAAAAAATAAAAAACTGTGGACTCGTTTACAGATGGCATATGCAGTCGCCAAATCTGAGATGTTTGATTACTCTTCAGCTTGATGTGCCATATCTCAGAAGTTGCAGCAGTGAGTGAATTCTAATCATCCAGTGAAAGACAAGTTCACCTATCAATCTAATTCATATCTGTGGATAGGCATGTGGCTATAGATCCAAGAATAAATCTAGCATATACAACCAGATCAAGAGGGCATCTGCCACATGAAACAGGAATTAATAGTTGCCATTGTTTGAAAACAAACAAAGAATTGGAGTTTCACCATGACTGGAATCCATAGAAATATAGAATAAACACCAAAACAAAAGAAACAGAAGTTTAAGTAATGTCTAATCCAACATTATGAGCTAGTGTATGCGGAAGACAGTCACACTAAGCAAAATGCACACAGTTTGACAATATTCCATTACTCAAATTTGAACAGATGATTCCACTAAATAACATAGTGAAACTCTACCCCACTATTTAGTTCCAACTCTCAAAGGAACATTATTAGGTACAATCATTTGGTTAGGTAGAAGAACACAAACAAAAGCTTACATCTTTGATCGTTTAGCGATCTTGAACCACTCAGTATGGAAGGATCCTTTTACATCAATCCTCTCATAAGTGTGAGCTCCAAAGTAATCTCTTTGCGCTTGGACCAGATTTGCTGGAACTCTTTCCCTCCTGTAAGTGTCATAGTATGCAAGACTGGATGACATACCAGGGGTGCTGACACCTGAGTTGATAGCAAGACAGACAACTCTTCGCCAAGCAGATTGTCGCTCAATGATCTCCTTTGCAAACTCTGGGTCCACTAGAAGGTTTGCAAGATCTGGGTTCCTGTCATAGGCCTTCTTAATACGGTCCAAGAACACAGCACGGATAATGCAACCTCCTTTCCAAATCCTAGCAAGCTCTCCCAATTTCAGGTTCCACCCCTTTTCAATGCTCTTAGCACGGATCAGATTCATTCCCTGTGCATAACTGCAAATCTTGGATGCATAAAGAGCTTGCCTCACATCATCAATCAACTTCCTCTTGTCAATAGTATGCTCAGTCAAGATGCCACAAACTCCACTTGATTTGAAAACCTTGGCAGCTTCAACCCTTTCTTTCTTCAACCCGCTAAGGGACCGTGCATCCAAAGATGATGCTATTGTGGGAGCAGCAACTGATAGCTCAGCAGCTTGCTGAACAGTCCATTTACCTGTACCCTTCATTCCAGTCTTGTCCAAAACTTTGTCAACCAAGTACCCATCTCCCTTGTCATCTCTAATGCCAAAAATATCGGCAGTGATTTCAATCAAGAAGCTCAGAAGTTCCCCCTTGTTCCACTCTGAGAAGACATGGCACAACTCCTCGTTAGAAAGCTTTCCAACTGATTTTAGGACGTCATAAGCCTCTGCAATTAGCTGCATGTCTCCATACTCAATCCCATTGTGAACCATTTTAACAAAATTTCCAGATCCTCCTTTGCCTACATAAGTAACACAAGGGCCACTGTCAGGAACCTGAGCTGCCACCTTGAGAAGTATGTCTTCTATGTACTTGTAGGCCTGAAAGGACCCTCCAGGCATCAAAGATGGCCCATTTCGGGCACCCTCTTCACCACCTGAAACTCCCATTCCCAAGTAGAGCAAACCTAATTCAGCCATGGCTTTCTCTCTCCTCTCAGTGTTCTCATACCACTCATTACCACCATCAATTATACAATCACCTTTTTCCATGTACACAGAAAGGGTTTTTATTGTTTGGTCAACAGGAGCCCCAGCCTTAACAAGCATGATTATGACTCGAGGCCTTTGGATAGAGCGAACAAAGGATTCAGGATCATGGAAGCCATACAAGGGGAGGTTTCCTTCCCTTTTAGCTCGTTCAACAGTTTCGTCAACTTTGGAGGTGGTTCGGTTGTAAACAGAAATTGGAAATCCCTTCTCAGCAATGTTGAGGGCTAGATTTTGTCCCATAACAGCAAGCCCTGCAAGACCTATTCTTGTAAGAGGCACGGCCATTTGTTTTTCCTGTTAGAAGAATGAGAATATCAGTGGGAAATCTGGCAAATTGATATATCACATTTCTGAAGACATAAAAATCTGCAATTAGTTGCTCAATGATATACAATAGGATATCAAATCATTTTCCTAGTGTTTGGCTTAAGTTGGAAATTGAATGTGAATGGTTTCAAAAAATGATACATAGGGGGTTGGAAGGAATGCCATTTTCCTACAAATACTAATCACTGAAAAATGTTTTTCCTTGACCATTTTACATGCAACCAAACACCAGAAGATAGCATATTCTGGGAGATCATTCATTTACCCTAACTTTACGTGCAAATTGAGCCAGAAATGTAGCACAAAGATCCAATATATTGTGTGAAAAACATTACAAAGGTAAAAGTCGTACTTTCTAACACAAGAAGTATTAATTCTATGAGAAGAAATCAGTTTGGGCATCTTTTTTTTTTCTTTTGACCAAGTGAAGCCCACATACATTCAATATCAGAGAACTTGAGTGTTTGTTGATGAAATATCCATCAGATTGAATGACATGAACAATCTGGGATGTATGAAGAAAACAAAGGAAGAGAAAAGAACCCAGCATTTAGACACTCGCAAAGTAAGCAAAGATGGGACTTCAACAAGAATCTAGTAACAAATTCACAATGTTCAATGGAATTTTAGTCCTTCAATTAACTTCACGCACATACGTTTAGGGAAAAAATCGTGATTCTGACAAACCAAATCCATAATGCTCTTCTAAGAAATTAGCCTGAAAAGAAAATTCAACTAACGACTAGCCCCCATTTTTCAGAGAAGAAAAGGATATATTAATCTGGATCAAAACCCGCCATACTAAAGAGTACGTTAATACAAGAGAAGTGTACATTCTGCAAGAAAGTCACGAGAAAATCTCCTCTAACATTACCTAAAGATAATAAACAAAAGGCCCTACAACTTTCTGATCCTTTTCCACTTAAAAGGTATGGCTTTTAAGAATTTTTAACGATCCACATACGAAAAATAAATCATCCAAGCGATACCCAATTAAGGGAAAAAAGTATGATTAATAGACCAAAGCACAGAAGAAGGGGAACCGTATCAGCAATTGTCAACTAGAACCGTCCAACAGATTAAAGAACATGAGAGAATTAAAAGAGACTTAATGCAATTACAGCAAAACCCAGAAAAGAGAAAGAACCGAACCTTTTACTCCTCAGTGAAGAATCAGAGATTACTTCAGAAACCAATCCACTCCCAGAAACCGAAAATCTGGGTATTGCAGAAAACGAAGTTTTAAACAGAATTATATAACTGGAAAGCTTGAAAAGCTCAAATATTCGACTATTTATGCTTCACGAACCCAAGGTACTCAATTGAGACTACCCAGTTCCCACTTCCCCCCTCAACCACTCGATTCCCTTCCCGTTCGAAACCGGATTCAGTCAGTGCAAGGCCCGTTCCCGCTGATCGCCTTGGCATTTAAGTATTTGACTGCTACCTCCTCCCCTCTCCGGTTTGAACGTTGTTAGTACTTGGTAGGGACGCCACGGCCCACGGCCCACGGGTCAGGTTGGGAACGGCATTTTACCCGCGCGAAACCCGACTCGAATCGATTCTAACCCGAAACCAACTGCACTCAGGACTCAGCCATGCCTATGTATGCAAATGCTGCCCATGTAAACAAACCGGAGCCCAAACCCCATTGAGGCTAGTGTGAGTTTGCCATTTAGCCCGACCCACTGACTAGTTTGGGTTTTAGGGGCACTTTCGTCTTTACAAATATTTATTGGATGGGACGCGATAGGTGCGAGGCGACAGGTTGAACGATTGGGATGGGATAATAAGATTGCAACCTGCGAGGTGATGGAAAGAATGATGTAGTAGTGCCAGCTCTTTGTATTACAGTACGTCCATGCGCAGTCGAATATTCCAATCGTCCAAATCTATGATTCCCTGTTTATTAAGTGTATCAATTTATTTGGATAAAAGAATATTAATTGAAATTACTGTTTTGCTCTACACCATACTCTAGCGTACACCGACTAGATCTAGGACACCGGGTCCCACACCCACATGATGACTAGAAGTGGCAAATTTGGATTTTTATTCGGGTTTAGAGTTTGCCGCTGGATTTGTCCGTCGGGAAACGTGGCGAATTTTGCTTTATTAAATTGCAACGTGTCTAATGTAAGTTTCTGGACCTAATCTACGTGGATCCGACCCGTTTAATGTAGGTAGGAATGACGAATGCCATTGCGTCAGTCTACGTCCTGAATCGAATTAATGATCCTTGTTCAACTGGAATGGTGTTCCTGTTAACTGTTTTATGATTCTGCTTTATCCAGTTTAAGTGTCTGGTTTGGTTGGATTTTAATTTTATTAGAGATTAAATTTAATGGAATTTGATTGATTAATTACATTAAAAAAAATGTTTGAACACGTGATCATGAGTATTATTCAAAGTTAACGGTTATTAATGATTAATTACCATTTTAATAATCATAATGCTTGAAATTGTGATTGTTCAATGAATTTTTTTCTGAATCAATACCTTCTTCTATACTATGATTCTTCAAAAATTATTTAAGGAGCGTGAATTAAGTAAATACACACATAAGCTTTTCAAAAATCACTATTGTCTCTCTCTGCTTGTTCTGCTACTGTCTCACAAAAGATTTTTTCGAAAAATCTTTAACTTTGTTAGTTGAAGACTCTCACCCAAGACTCTGTTATATCCTAGAAACAGATTTACCTATAACCCAATCAGGGGATGGAGCTAGAATTTTTTCTTGAGGGGGCCAAAAGCTAAGAAACATGGATAAAGGGGTTAAAATACAAGTGGAATTTAAATGTGTTTATAGGAAGTCTAAAGGTATAGGGGTCATGGGTCTCTTCTGCCACCCTTGGCTCTGCCCCTAAACCTAATAATAAATTTAATAAATCTGAGTGAGGACAAATAACATTCTGAATATAATATCTTTAGACACGTCTCAGAACTTCTCCTTCAAATTTCTATGACCCCATATTTCTAATAAGTATGATATCTGGATCAAGTATGAATCATAAAGCATTAGTGTTTTGAAATCCGGCCCGTAAGTTCATGTTTTTCCTGCTTAAACCAGATAGCTTGGTTGATTATAAAAAATTCAAAAGTTCTCTAAACCAAAGAAAACTATTTTGTCAAGTTCAAATGGGTTATATAGTTTGGTTTTGATATCTTATAGAAACATTAAACCAAAAAGCTGCCCGGTTCATGGTTTGATATCCCACTGTTACAAATAACAATGGTTTGAAATCCGGACCAAACATTGAACCACAAGGATGTCTGGTTCATGGTTTGAAATCCAGATCCAACATTGAAAGGAAAAAAATAATAACTTTTCAATTCAGTTTTAATAAGTGGTTTAGTGATCAAAAGTCAAAACCTCTATAAAATGATAAAAGTAGAAAGATGTGAAGACGTGGTTCCTCCTCGCTCCTGCTCAAGTGGGGCAGCAGTCTGGTGAGTGGTCACTCTGGTCTTGTTTTCAAAACAATGTACCAAAGCCATCGAAGCACACGGTCTCTAGAGGCATAAGGACTCTAAAGCCTTTGGGTTATGTGTGGTTTGATTTATGAAGAATATTAAAAAGTTGATGAAAAGTTGTTGATTCTTAATTTCTATCAAATCAAATACAGCGTTAGGTGGCGTTTGATAAATCGAAATTGAAGTGTTAAAAAGATATTAAAACTATCTGAAATCTGAAAAGAGGCATTGATGCTTTTTTACTTTTTAGAGGTTCTAAATACTTTGGTTTGTTTGTGTTTGACCAAACTGTTAACATCTGAAATGCTATGTTTTTATTATTTTACCCTTAAAGTAGACTATTTGGTAAATTTGAACTCAATTTGTAATATTTCATATAAAATAATTTACCAAATTCAAAATAATATTAAAATCATATAAAATAAATAATAATTACGAAAATAATTAATAATTAGTAGAAAAACATAACTAAATTAATAAAAATAACTAATCACTATAAAAAATAATAAAATTATTAAAATTTAATAAAAATTGAAATCATCAATAAAAATTAGTGGTAACTAATTAATAATTAATAATATTGAACTAACATGAATAAAAAATAATTGAATACATAATAAGTGATAATAATTACTAAAAATAATTAATAGTTAATAAATAACATAATTAAATTAATAAAAATAATTAATAACTATTAAAAATAATAAAATGATTAAATTTTAATAAAAATTAAAATAATCAATAAAAATTAATGGTTACTGATGGTGCGCAATCCGGTCGATCCTAACTGTCAATGACCTTGCCTCTAATTGGAGCAACAGGGGGGCCTGAAACGGAGAAGAAAGAGGGGAATCTCCAGGGAGGAACCCAGCGAGATCACTCTGAAGCTCAAGTTAGTATTCTCTCAAAGGCAAGATAAAACCAGATGGCGCAAATTTCACATACCTTGTCCTCGGGGGGTAGAGAGCCTTTTTATAACCACCTCGCGCACTCACTCCGAGGCCTCTGTCAGGTCGAGTATGATTACTTCTGTGCTTCTGCCAGTTCGGGTGTCATCACCTTTACTGGGACAGAACCGCCACTGCTCCTTGTCGGAGCCGTCTCTGTAACTAGAGATGGCGGTGGCAGGTGGCCATTGGAATGCGGCTGTCAAGTGTCAGATCCCAAGTCAGTCAGGTGCGCCGCCCCTGGATACGGACTCCTTCAGTGTCAGGTACGATTTGTTTAGTTCGGTGTCCCGGGGGCAAAGTGCTAGAGTGGTGTGCGAGGTGAAGTCTTGAGTTCAGACAGTGGTGTGGCCCGAACTGCCCTAGGGTAGACCAATTCGGGTTGTTGCCCTTTGTGTCCGTAAGGCTCGGGGCCTAAGGGAGAGCTCGGGCTCCTTACGGGGAGTTCGGACCACTTGTTCCTCCTTTCGGAGCTCGTGCCTTGGCGAGCTGTTGTGCCGAACTGTTGCCTTTGCCACGTGTTGAGTGGTTACGAGGTCGGGCCAAATCTTCCTCCTTTAGTTCGCCTTCAAGGTCTTTTGCTCGTGTTCAAGTTCCCGTAGTCTGTTCAAGCATTTTTCCGGGTGAGTACTTTCTTGGAATCCATCTTCTCTCCCCGATGTCTAGCTCGGATATCTCAAACGGTTCTTCAAGGGGGTCAGATGCAGGTTCTACGAACTGAGCTGCATCCCCTGATGGTCCTAGCGAACCGGAGCTAGAGCTCGAGGAAAAGTTCGAACCCGTAGGCCGAGCCGCCTCTGGTAACTTGGCGTCCACCTCTTGTCGAGGTCGGACGTTAGACAAGTTCGGTCCCTCGACCATGACGCATGAGGGGCTCCAATCCCTTATTACCTATTACAACTTGCCTGGGGAGTATGCCTACTTCATACCTTCGGGTAGCTTTCCTTGGGAACACGGTCCTAAAGAGATCGTGATATTCCGGGAGCAGCTCGGTACGGGGCTGCGACTGCCTTTCCATCCCCTCCTTGTTGAGGTCATGAACCACTTCGGCGTTACTGTCGGCCAGCTTCACCCGAACTCCATTTGTAACTTGGTGGGGACAATCTCCCTATTTTGCGAATAGGGCTTTCCTTTAGACTTGGAGATCTTCTCTTCCATCCTAATGCTTAAGAAGCAAGCGGGTCCCCTTCCCGGGCGTAGGCGGGCGTATTACCTGTCTCCCTGCCCGGGTTTTAAGCTTTTACATGAACTTCCCAACAAGGTCCCGACGTGGAAGCGGGACTACTTCGGGGTGCGAAGTGTATTGGGGTGACCGTTCCAAACCGGGTGGGGAATGGCCGCCCCTGACTCCGGTGTTACGCTTGATAAAGAGACGGCGAAGGGCCTCCGGCAATGGGCACGGCTTGGGCTAAAATGCCATCATTATCTGTCGAAGGCCAAGCTCATTGAGGCCGGTTTGAGTTCGGGCAGGTTCCTTACTCAAGTTTGTCTTTTGTTTTGCTTTGTTCTTTTGCTTTTTCCTGATGTCGAACTCATTTTGCAGGTGTGATGGACTTAGAGAGGACTCGCGGTGGGCACTTGTTTTACGGCATGAAGAGGAGGAAGCGGGTTGCCAAACAAACTCGTGCCGAGGTGCCCCGAGACGCGGAGCCCGAAGTACCATACTACCCGTCTGTGGATCCGCCTAGGGAGTCCGAGATGGCCCCTCTAGTCCATGAGGCAGCAGGGGCTCCTTATGCCGAAGCTACTTATACGGGGTCTCCTACTTACTCTGAATCCGCTTACACGCGAGCTGGGCCCTCAGGCTCAAGGGCCCAAGGTGAGTTCAGGAGCGTGTTGTCACCGAACCACGCTCTGCAGAAGAGTAGGGAGGCCATCTATCCTGAGGAGGTTGCAGCATGATCCGAGCTTCCTTTGAACCAGGTAGCTTGTCGTGTTGCCACTCATGCCATGGTGGTAAGTCAGATTTCTTGTCTGGCTCTTTGCTTTTATCCTTTTGTCGTTCCTTTG